TCGAGATGCGGGCGCGGCGCCTTCGGAGGTGTCAGACCATGGTCGCCCACCAGTGGAGGAATGGCCAGATTCTCACCTCCATGTTCGGTCGCTTCTTGTTTGAGGAAGCACCGGCGCTGATCCAGGGAGACCCGAAGAAAGCATGTAATTCCGTGGGCACTTAAATTTCGCGAGGATGTACTTGAGGGAATAGATGGGTTCGATTAGGGGGGCGGGTATCTTGGGATGTGTATTCGCGCGTGGTGGACACTGGAGTTTACCGACGAGGAGGTGGAGGCGGCGTTTATTTCTCGAGGTTTCGTGGCGCTACTAAAAGGAGTTTACATGTCAGCCGCGCCGCCGCCAGAATGGCAGCCATGTCAGTTGCCGACTCGAACAGTTACCACTGCTACTACGCGCGCAGGTGGAGGAGAACGGAAATGTGGGTTCTTATGGGGAAATGGCAGATAATTCGCATCTTGCTTTGACACATCTAAGGCAGTTACGCAACATAGGATGGCCAAACATGCACAGCGTGATGCGAGGACAAGAATAGTTACCACGAATGCATGCCCATTCTGCCCTGTCGCATTCGGACGCGCGAAGACCGCGCGGCGACATCTTCTCTCGAGCGTGGCCAGAGGTGGGCATTGCATTGGCGGCTCGAGATGTATCGGGGGGCGACAACGCCCTGATCGGGCACGTTGTCATCTGCGTGAATTTCGGGTCCAAGCCTTCGAGCAGCTACAGGGGCATCTGCAGAGTCACGTGCCACCATTCAAAGTGCTACCGGAGCTGGCCTCGACGCGGCCATATCGACCCCGCAATGTCCTTTGCCGTGGCCGCCCCAGCCTGGGGGCCCAGCTCGGGCTCAGACGGACCAGCTCGCAAGGTGCAGATCCGAGAGTTGCTCGCCAAAGGAGAGGGCGTCAGCGCAGTCAAGAATCTGCTCATCTTCCTCGCAAAGCTCAGTTTGACGACCGCGGCCGAGAACTGGGAAATCACAGGCGCGCCGTGGAATGCGGTGCTCGTCGACGCAAAGTCACGCATCGCAGTCGAGGCGATGGCCCATGGCAAGTCCTGCCACGAGGCAACCAAGACGGCAGAAGGAGACCCCGCCGCTCAAGAAGGCCTTGGCCCGCCGTGCGCGCGCGTAATTCGCGGGCCTCATGTTGGGCGCGCCGAAGACCCAGATCGAGCTCGAGCCGACCAACAAGCAGTGCCCGACGGAGTTCTGGGCGAAAGAGGTGGCGGCGGAGGGCAAGACGCAAGCCGACCTTCTGGGCAATGTGATGCACTGCAAGTGCAAAGCAGCCAAAGTCAAGGATGGCAAACCAGGCCAGGCGAAAGTCGCGATTGTGATGGGCGCGGAGTTCTGCGCGGTGCAGACGGTGATCACGGCGGCTCTGGCGCAGGGCTGCGGCGCCAAGAAGCACGGCCCAGCTCCCAGGGGCCCCTTGGAGCGGGCGGCGCAGGATCTCCTCGAGGTGCTCGAGGGTACGTCGACGGGCAGCAAGAAGGAGCAGTAGGACGCACGCAGCGGCCGAGGCTGACGGCCATCCAGCGCGCGCATATTGAACAGTTCTGCCATCGGCCTCTGCAGATGGTAGAGCGAGGGGCTGTTGCGCTGGAGGCCGCGCTGCGACGCCCAGGAGCGGCAGCCACCAGTTGGAGTTTGCAGCCGCCCGAGAGGCGGAAGAACGGGAAGGGGAAAAGGGGGGTGGGTGAGTGGCCGCGGTGTTTCTCAGGCCGCTGAGCATTCTTCTGGGGGCCAAACTCACCCACCCCCCTGAACCCAAGTTTTGAGCATCAATCTTATTGGTTTAAAGGGGGTCTGAGGCTTGATGTAGGAAGCGAGCCAGTTGTGCCCTGGATGGCGGGAGTGGTCATTGTGTCCCCACCGTCCAGGGCGGGGTGGCTCGCCCCGCCCTTCAGCCTAAGAATATCTCGTGGTTGTCTTGGTGCGGGAAGGCCCTTCAGCTCAGTCGGCAAACGAGGGTGCCTCAGACCGCCTGTGCAGTGCTCTCCTGTCTGCACAAGCGGCCCCCCAGAAGTTCCGGGCAAACGCAGGTTTTTAATATAAAAATGGTGAATGTTACAAACTGGCGAATCCAGCCAGGAGTTGCCCAGGCATCTCACACGAACAGACGAACCCAGTGCCCCCAGAGTTCGGTTCCTATCCCGATTCCCCCCCCGTCCGCCTGCTTCTTCCTGTCTCTTTCCTGCCACCCCTCATCATTATCCTTCCTGCGCCCACCATCCCCACCCCCTCCCTCCTCTTCACTCATGCTCCTGGTCATGCTGACCCCCTCCTCATAACTTATCCTAATATTCATCCTCATGCTCCTTATTCACCCTCCTACGCAGCGTCCTTCCTCCTTCCTGCTCGTCGTCCCTCTTCTCTCTTTTCCGTTTCCTCGTCCTCCTCCGCCTCATCCCTGCATCCCTGGTATTCCTTGTCCGACTCGCGCACTCCACGCAACCCGCATACGCTATTACGAAACAGTTGAAACAGCGTCTTCAATCCTGGAACTATGATGTTCCAACCTACGTTAGCCTTGACCACCAGAAAGAATTCCGAGCACCAAAACAAAGCACCGAAACTCGACGGTTTTCACGTGTCGGGCCCTGCGAGACACTTTTCCGGGTGCTCAAAATCATTTCTTGGATGTGGTCTTCAAGTACGACGGGAGCAACATAAGTCTTGTTTCCGAATTCCGATCGGATGTGGTGAGTTGCAAGCTTGGCCCCGGCTTCAAGATATTCAACTGGATTCGACCTGGTTCCGGATTCGATACTGATTGCTATAGATCCTTATTTCCACCCTTTCCTTCCCCTCCTCGCCGAGTACCTCCCTTCATCCCACTCTCTTAGGATGCAACTCCTGGGAGGCCAAATTAAGCGTCGGCGATGCTATATCCGTGGTTGAGAGCTGGCCTCATCCAGCAAATCCCGTTGAATCCAACTTGGCTTTCTCCCAGGCCTCATCTGGCCTAGTCAAGCTCAATGGTCTCTTCGTCTGGCAGTGACCTCCCAGCATTTGCCTTCAATGCTCCTTTACGGTAGCTTCGTGTCGTCGCGACCGGCGGCGACCACGCTAGCGGCGTTCAACGTTGAACGCCGCGGGCGACCCAGAATTTTTCGATGTGGAACGATTCGGACGTTTCGGAAACGGCCGATCATTAAAGGTTGAACGATCCCCGCCGGTGTCAGAAACCAACGCCGAAGTTGGCACGACACGAACCTGTCGTACCTCCTCTCCTTGCCCCTTCTCCCAGTCGGCCTCCAGGGACAGCCCTCTCTCGGGGAAACGTAAGACCCGAGTAAGCCGGAACTCGGGTTAGCCGAAGTTTTTTGACGAGCGCGTCCAGGATTTTGACGGTCCGGTTTTTGTGGGATGTCTGCAGCGAGAGCCCGCGTCAAATTTCAGATTGGATTTCGTCGTTTTCATAAGGCCCCCGTTAGGCCAACCCGAGTCCCCCGTACCCGGGTCTTACGTCTCCCCGACTCTCGCGCGAGCAGCGCATGGCCGCCCTTCGTCGAGAGAGTCCACCTCAGAGAAGCGCCAGAGGCGAGCAACCCAGCGCACGCGCAGAGATTCAGTACGGCACGCTCTCCCGTCGGGCACTCCGTTCGGTTCCGTTCCTTCCCCCATCCTTCGAGTATAATGTCCTTCTTCCTCCTCCTCCTCCTCCTCCTCCTCTTCCCCCTCCTCCTCCTCCTCCTCCTCCTCCTCCTCCTCTCTCCTCCTCCCGCCCCTCTTTTTCCTCCCTGGTGGAGCCGCTATGTTTCAAGGGGATTTCGTATCACAGTGGACCGTTTCACTTCAGGCGTGCATCGAAGACTTGCATTGAGCGTAAAAAATAATGTTCCAACCGACTTTAGCCTTGATCACCAGGAAGAGCTTCGAGCACCAACAACAAGTGCCGAAACTCGAGGGTTGTCACGTGTCGGGCCCTGGGAGACACTCGTCCGACACTGTTTCGACAATGTTTCGACTCTCTTTCGATGCCTTTCCTGGGGCTTGAAATTATTTCTTGGGATGTGGTCCTTAAGTGCGATGGGAGCAGCATAATCCTTCGAGCAGGGGACCGACTACATCATTGACCTGCCCCAGAACTGTTCCCAAACATTGGTTGGTGTGTGTGTTCCTGGATCCGACGGAAAATTACTCACTGTGTGGAGCTCCCCATATGTGCATATCTTTGCATTGGCACTTCCGCAGTGAATGTCTAGGCGCAAGAAACTTCGAACATGAACGAGCTTGGATATTGACAGCCTGGGAGAGAGTCTAACTGTGAATGACTTTGATGAGCCCTAGTACGAATGAGTCTATGCGCGTGAGCCTGCGCATGGCTACGACTAGGGTGAGAGTATCTGCACGTCAGTAGCCTGAGCATGACTGAGTGTGACTGAATCCTCGGGGGGACTCTTGGGGCTTCCTGGGGTTTCCTCAAGTCTACTGGGGCTCCTGGAGCCTCCTGGGGCCTCGTGGGGTCATCATCACGATCATACTCATCCTTCATTCGCCATCGCTCAACACAGCCAACGAGGGAAGGAAAGGATGAGGATGAGGGGTCCAGCGCGGTCAGAGAATAACAAGAACCCCATCCCTTGGAGATGGGGAACACATAACTTAGGGGCAAATCAATTCTGCAGTCGATCCTCGCACGGGGAGCTTGCGCGCCAATGCCCGCGCAGTCGGCCCCGCTGCTCCTCCTCCCCCTCCTCCTCCTCCTCCTCCTCCCTCCTCCTCCTCCTCCTCCTCCTCCTCTTCCTCCTCCCCTCCTCCCCTCCTCTTCCTCCTCCTTCTCCTCCTCCTCCTCCTCCTCCTCCCTCCTCCTCCTCCTCCTCCCCTCCTCCCCCCTCCCCCTCTTCCCCCTCCTCCTCCTCCTCCTCCCCCTCCCCCTCCTCCCCCTCCTCCCCCTCCTCCCCCTCCTCCCCCTCCCCCTCCTCCCTCCTCCCCCTCCTCCCCCTCCTCCCGAGTCCTCTGCCTCCCCCCCCCCCTCCGCCGCGCTCAGGCCACCTCTGCGGTGCCGACCGCGCCGCCGCCGCCGCGCGCGCGGGAGCCCGGCTTCCTCGCCGCCGCGCGGCACGGGGACGCGTGGGACGAGCAGCTGCCGCTCAACGCCAGCTTCGGGCCCCAGCAGGAGGCGCCTCTGCCAGCCTTCTTGCCGCCAGGATACCCTGGGTTTCTTGGGTTTGGCGGTCCTGCTATGGGAAGAGTGACGTTCCCGCACCAAAAACCAATGGACGTCCTGGGGTCTCAGGGTTGGGTTTCTTGAGGGGAGGGTTTCTTGTGGACTGACCTCCACTGTATAAACATAATTTTTGGGCGCTCCGCGCGGATTTTTGTGATCCGCGCCTGGGCGCCCTGGCGGCGCCTCCGGCGCCGCCCCCGGCGCGCTCCGCGCGCCAGGGCGCCCAAAGTTTATGTTCCTGGTTTTTGTTCTTCTCCTAGGTTCCTCCGGTTCGATCCGATTCGATGTCGATGGGTTCCGATTCCGATTCGGTTCGACGTGGGATTCCGATTTGGATTCCGATTTCTCGGTGATGCACAATTAGTCTGCCGATGTCCGCCGACCCGACTTATTTCGATTGCCGATGCGACTCATCGATTCGATTCTGGGCTGCCCTGCTCTCGGCAGGGGGGGGAGGGGGCACCTCCTCTTGCCGCGAGTGGAACAGAAAGAACGCGACGGACGGGTTCTTGTAAAGCTTCCGGCCTCCAGGGGCCCTCGCTGGGCCCCTGGGCCGTCGCAGAAACCCTTCGGGATGGGAAGCCGGTCCCGGGAGAGGGGCCCACGTTCGCCGCTCATCCATCTTTTTGGAGGTCGGTGGGAGAGTCAAGCAGTGGCGAAGCGTCCCGGCACGCTTATAGCCCCACCAAACAATGTTCTAAGAACTTTTTGTGGTTCCTACGAAATGTTCTTAGAACATTTCTGGCTGGGACTGGGACTGTCTTGTTTCAACACATCGGGCTTATGTTCTAAGAACATTGTCTTTGTTATAAGAACATATTTGGATTCTAAGATCGTGGTATGACTATAGGACTGCCGGGGCGGTCGGTCCCTGTTCAAGAGAGGTGTGGCAGAAAGAGGTTTGGTGCCAATCGTGGAGCGGGCGATGTAATCTACGATAGGTAGCCTCGCCAGGTGCAGCATCGGCACCACACCCCTTGACACCAGAGCCCTCTCCTGCCCCCGGAAGCCTAGCGAGGGGGGGGGGAAGGGAGGAGGTCGGAGGAGGAGGAGGAGGAGATACCGCTGCCGCTGCTCGCCGTGGAGGGCCCTCGTCGCCACGGCAGCATTCTCGTGGAGATCCTGGTCAGAACGCACGCCGGGAGAAGTCATGGCACCAAGCTCTGGCAGAGCGGATTTCGCACGGAGAGCAATGGGATGGGCTTGGGTTGTCCTGGAGAATTTCGTTCCGGATTTCGACGCGAATCTCGTGCGGATTTGTTTTGGCCAGGAATGAAGATTCAAACACATCTACGTGAAATTGATTTCGTCTGTCGCTTGACGTTTCGTTTTTTTGTGTATTGTTAGGAATCCACGCAAACATCCGCTGCAGCACGTCTACAAGGTCGGTGCAGTGAGGAGAGGTCTGGGGAATACCAGAGCGGTACATGATTATTCCTTATTCTTTAGAGGGAGAGGGAGGGGGAGGAGGTCAGGTCCGAGGTCTTCTGAGGTTTTCGTCTGCGCTCGGCGGTTGTCGAGCCTCAGGGTGCGTTCCAGCAGCTGCGCCTCGCAGACTGCGTTCTGGGGGTGCCCAGTTCAAACCGAACGACCGCCTGAGACCCGAGTTGCGGCCCGAACACCAACAAGCCCGAGGCAACGTTAGTGAGGGATACGCTTGGGGGGGGATAGATCGACCCCCAACCGCCCATTCATCGCCGACAGAGGCCCGATAACTCCCCCCCGCTCAGGACCGTTCGGTTTCTCTATCGATGGCCTATCGCCGATATATCGGCGATGTATTGCCAGTTCCATGGCGACGTTCTCCCCCAAGCCAGGGAGGAAGGGGAGGGGCTGGAGGGAGAAGCACGCCGGCAGGGGAAGGACGAGCGAGGATGGGGGAGGAGAAGGAACGAGGAGAAGGAGGAAAAGAGGCGAGGAGGAAGGGGATGGCAGGAGGAGATCGAGTAATTAGGAGAGATGAGCCGCCGCCGATCAGATTCGCGCACGGAGGAGCAACAGCCAGTGCCATTTCTGCTCCCCTCCTCGCTCCTCCCCTGCCCCTCCCCATCCCCGCTCTCCCCCGCGCCAAGCTCCAGCGAGCTTGCCTGGCCCGCGCGCCTCGCAGGCGGGGAGACGCCCGCGTCCCCCGCTTGCTCTCGGCCGGCGAGCCGTGATGCCGACGACGCAGGGCTCGTTTCGATTTCTCCGATTCGATTCGATTCGATTTCGACGGCTGCGATCCCGATGCGATTCGACTTCGGATTCCGATCTGGACTCCGATTTCTGAAAGGAGGCCCACTAGCCTGCCGATTTCCGCCAATTCGACTTCTCCCGACTCGGCTGCCGATTGCCGCCGATCCGATTCATCTCGATCGCCGATCCGACTTATCGATTCGATTCTGGGCTCTCCTGACGACGCCGCAGGAGGTGCCAGCCGCCAGCGTCCCGGTCGGCGGGTGTGCCGTCACCCGGGGACGCCTAAGGCCCGCTTGCCTCCCCGCGCCTGCGTGCACGCCGTGCCCGCGCGCACCACGCGAGGTACGGCAGGTTCGCGTCGTGCTTTCTGAGGTTCCAGCCTGCTTTAGCCTCGACCACCAGAAAGAATCTCGAGCACCAAAAGAGTACTGAAACTCGGGGGGTTTCACGTGTCGGGCCCTGGGAGACACTCGTCCGACACTCTTCCGACACTCTTTCGATATTGTGTCGACACTTCACCGGGTGCTCAAAATTATTTCTAGGATGCGGTCTTCAAGCACGATGGGAGCAACACAGGTCGTGTCGACCGGCGGCGACCCCACCGCGTACGTTTAAGGTTGAACGCCGCCCGTGGCCCAGAATCGGCCAGTCGTTGAACGGTCCGGTGTTCACGGAACGGCCGATCTTTCAAGTTTGAACGGTCCTTGCGGTGTCAGTAACCAACGCTAAGGTCGACACGACGCGAACCTGCCGTAATCAAGGGAACCCCGCCCTTGACGCCGAGCTCCAGTTGCGACATCCTGCGCGCCACGTGCGACGGCGTTTACCTATTCCGTTCGCCACTACATTAATTACCAGTGGCGGGCCTTTCTTCAATCCTCGGATTTTTTGAGTGTCGGGGACGACGTCGGGGTGGTGTGGTGTATCCTTGTTTCTCCGCTTTCCCGGGGAAACAACGAAACATGCAGACGCCAGGATCCCGTACACACCAGGATACGTTTCCTTGTGCGAATTTCAGAGCGGGGCCGGTAAAAGCGTGGTGCATGGGGTGCGGCTCCTCAGCAACCTCCCGCTTCTGAAGAGGTCGCCCTCGGCGTCCTCGCCGCCAGCGCCCTCGCCGCCCTCGCCGCCAGCGCCCTCGTGTTCATCCTTGTCGACGTCGTTTCGGGAGCCCCCGATCGGGTATAGCCAGGACCCCAGGTACGGGGACCAGGTTAGTAGTAGTGCCCCGGAGTCCTTCCATTGGCCAGAACCACTAAGCCAGGTTTGCCGTAGATGGTGTTTTTTTCTGGTGACGGCAGTTCCGGTCCTGGGGGGCGCCCCCCAGCACACATCCGTACACCAGGTCCCACTACACTTCAGTCGGGCCTGTCCCCCAACAGGGGGATTGTCGACGAAAAATAAAAAATGCACCAGAAATGCCCCCAAATGGTCAAAACATGCTCCAAGAATAGTCCCTCGATTATTCTTGGACCATTTGTTTACTATTTTGAGTGTATTTGTTATTTTTCCTGCCCGACTTCACCCAACCCAGTTCTGCCAACGCCCCACCCGAGCGGTGCGGTAGCCGCACCGCGGTGGGTCCGCGGGGCCTCGGGGTGACGGCACGGTCTGTGGCGTCCGGGGCCGCTCTCTCGGAGGAGACGCCCCCGGGCGACGTGGGCCTCCGCGGCCGTGCGGGGGCGGACCGCGAGGCGAGGCCTCTCTTGGAGGAGGAGGAGGAGGAGGAGGAGGAGGAGGAGGAGGAGGAGGAGGAGGAGGAGGAGGAGGAGGAGGCGGAGGCGGAGGGGGGGGGGGGAGGAGGAGGAGGAGGAGGAGGAGGAGGAGGAGGAGGAGGAGGAGGAGGAGGAGGGGAGGAGGAGGAGGAGGAGGAGGAGGAGGAGGAGGAGGAGGAGGAGGAGGAGGAGGAGGAGGAGGAGGAGGAGGAGGAGGAGGAGGGAGGAGGAGGAGGAGGAGGAGGAGGAGAGAGGAGGAGGAGGAGGGGAGGAGGAGGAGGAGGAGGGGAGGAGGAGGAGGAGGAGGAGGAGGGGGGGGGGGGAGGAGGAGGGGGGGGAGCACGAGGTCTCGGTGCAGCGCCCAGGGGACCACCTGGCCTCCCGCTGCCTTGCGTCCGCGCTCTTGGCGGGGCGCCTGGCGGGCGCGCCCTTCGACCGCGTGCGGGGGCGGACTGCGAGGTCACCGCACGGTCCGTCACCGTAGCGAGGTCACCGCACGGTCCGTCACCGTGATGAACAAGTCGTCCTTGGCGCCGCCGTCTTCGGCATCCTCGCCGCTGGCGCCCTCATCGTCGTCCTCGCCGCGTCGCTGCCCTCGTCATCGCCGCCGCCCGGCGGCTCGACGACGCGACGACGACGACGAGCGCCCCCGCGCGGCCAGGGCCAGACCTCCCCGAGGTCGCCGGGCAGCCCGCTCCCCGCCGATGCGGCCCCGGCTCCCTGCCCCGGGGGCCGCCGTCGCTGAGGTTCGGGGGCGGCAAAGATGGGGGTGATGATTAGGAGGAGGTGGATATCATGGCGGGGGGCATGGTATCTCCCCAGATTTCGTGGCGCCTTTTCTTATTTCATTGCGTCCCTGGCCCCCCCTTGGCCGCGCACATGCAGCCGGCCATGATTTGCGCCCCCCCTCTTGGACGCCCCCCTCTTGGCCGCCCCCGAGAGGTGGCGGCGGCGGCGGCGGCGGCGTCGTCGTCGCTATGGACGGTTCGGCCACCGGCAGCGTCGGGGCGGTCGGCGTCGGGACGGTCGTCGCTCGGGACGGTCGTCGCTCGGGACCGTCGGCTCGGGGCGGCTCGAGGGGGTAGGCTCAAGGGGGGATGCATCGTTCTTGACCTCCCAGATTCGGCGGCAACAACCAGATCGTGAGCATGAGCCGTCGGAGGTCCGCGTGGACTGCTAGGATCGGCGCGGGGCCTCCCTCCCTGCCTGGCTCGTGGAGCTCGCCGGGGACGGCGCCGGAGGCCCCGCCAGGGGGACCCAGCGCAAATGCATCTGCGATGCAGCCTGGTGTGGAGCCCGATGTTCCCCGCGCTGGCGTCGCCGATGCATCGTCGACGTCGCCGATGCCTCGCCGCTGCATCGGCGATGCGGCGCGATCCTCCGACCACATCAAGGGATAGGCTCGGGGGAGGGGGGTGCATCGACCTCCACTCGCCCACCCATCGCCGAGAGGGGCCCGGCAGCCCGCCACGCCGGGGGGGGGATGGGGATTCGCCATCGGCGGCCCATCGCCGATCCATCGGCGAGGGGGTGGGCAGACCTCCTACCCTGACACGCCGATAAAGGAATTGGCCGTTTTCGGTTCGCGAGAGGGCGTCGCGGCCGTCATTGTTGCGGGTCCAGGTCCGTCGGTTTCGGTCCCAGGCCGTTTTCACCAAAGGGTGGTTTACGAAAGGGAGGTTTGTCCACCGCCGAAGCTGGTCTCCCCGTGACGTTTCCTCTCACCTGGGGATTTCGGAGCGCCCTCGTTCCGAGGCAGAGGGTTATCGATAACCACCGCCCGAGTGATCAATATATTCGGGGACTTCGGCAGGCGGTGGACATGGGCACACTCGGGCCCCCTAGGGCGAAGGCTCCCAGGACATCGGCCCTCCAGTAGGCGGATATACACAATTCCCCGCCTCGCATCTCGCGGTACGAAAAAAAGTGAGCGGCACGGGTGCGGCCACAATTTCTGTTGAGCGGACTGTTGTCGGAGGCTCTCAGACTGTTCCGCAGCGCCGTGGAGCGGCCGCGGCGCCCGGTGCGTCCTCGAGACTCGCCAGATAATTGTCAGAGGGATTTCTCTCCAGGTCTTGGCCTCGTCGTATTCGGCGATTTTGCAGGGTCCTCGTCGCCACGGCTCGAAGCGACTGCGCAGGACGGGCCTGGACACCACTGTTGAACGGACCGTTGTCGGATGGCGGCGGCGACGGCAGCCTCTGCGAATGGGCGCTTCTCGAGGCACCACCTCCCTCGCTTGAGGCATCGTTCTCGGGACATTGCCGACTGGGCGATCGAGTGGCGATCCGCAGTGCGCTGTTGTTTGGGTGAGCTCAGCATCTGCAATCGACGCGTGCATGCCAGGGGCGAGGGCGTGCCTGAGTCGCACGCGTCTTAGCTGGCTCGGGGCGAGCAGGCCTCGTCTCGTTGCCTCCTCTCTTCTTCCTCGTGGGCATCGCCCGGGCGTGTGCATGTGTCTCGGCGGGGAGGATCGGAGATCTTGGGTGAAGCCGGCACATCTGCACGGGAATCGACGTCCGAGCGATGGATGGCGAGCTCTCCCGGCCAGGGGGGGCGGGGGGGCAGGCGGGGCAGGGGGCGGCCTCGCTGGGGGGGGGGGGGGCGAGGCCGAAGGGGGGAAGGGGGGCAGGACGGGGGGGGGGGAAGCGAAGGGAGGCAGGGGGGCGAAGGGGAGGGGCGAAGGGGGGGGCGGGGGGGGGGGGGGGAGGAGGAGGGGGGGGGAGGAGGGGCCCAAGGCGGGGGGGGGGGCCGAAGGGGCAGGGGGGCGAAGGCGGGGGGGCGCGGGCGGGCGGGGGCCTCCGGCCAGAGGAGGGCCTCCTCGTCGCCTCCGGCCTCGCGGGGCCGGCCTCGGGCCTCGCGGGGCGTCCGGGGGCGGCTCCTCGCGCGGGGGCCCGCAGCCAGCCCCGGGGGAAGGGCTGGCGGGGGCCCCCGCGTCGACCAGTGCCAGGCGTTCGGTGGCGGCTCCAGAGGGAGGGGTGGCTAGAGGGGGGGGGGGGGGGAACACGGCCAGGGCCATGACTCGAAGAAGAGAGAGAGAGCGCCATGGACAGAAACTTTTGGCGCTCCGCGCGGATTTCTCGGATCCGCGCGCCGCTGGCGGCGCCTCCGGCGCCGCCCCTGGCGGGGCCCCTGGCGCAGGCCCAAGAGATCCGCGCGGAGCGCCAGCAGTTTATGTTTCTACAGTTTTTTCGTGTTTCCCTTCTCGTGAGATCTCCCCGGCCTCCACGGCGCTTCGTCGTGCTTTGATGCGTCCCCGTGGCCCCCCCTCCTGGCGGCCGCGCGCCTGCCGCGGGCCATATGACTTGGGGCCCCCCCCTCTCGGACGCCCCCCCTCGTGGTCGCCCCCCGTGTGGAGGGGGGGGGGGGCGGGGTCGCCTCCAGCCCCGCTTCGGCCGGGGCCCTCTCGGGGCCGCCGTGGGTCGCCCGCGGGGTTCCTTGGCCTCCCTCTCCTCCTCCTCTGTCCTCTGTCCTCTGTCCTCTGTCCTCCCTCCTCCTCCTCCTCCTCCTCCTCCTCCTCCTCATCCTCATCCTCATCCTCATCCTCATCCTCCTCATCCTCCTCATCCTCCTCATCCTCCTTCTCCTGTGGGGCTCCCGAGGCGCGCGGCTCCTGGGAGCAGCTTGGGCCGAGCGGCCCAGGGTGTTCAGAGCATGCAGAAAACAAGCGGGTGCCGCATGTGGCCGTTATTTTCCTCGTTGTTTTGCCAATTGGCGCAGGCCCTCGCACCCTCCCCCCTTCCCCCCCCCTCTGGAGTAGATCTTGGCTATTTTTTGGCACCTGCTTCGAGCAGGTGGAGCCCCTCCCTCAGAGGACACACGGTTCCAAACAGTCGTACTAAGCATAGGTCCAGAGCCAGCTCCCCCCCCTTTCCGCCCAACGTCGAAACCCCGAAGAGAAAACGCTCACGTATGTGGTTGAAATGTGTGTTGGCCGTCTCTGAG